GGTCTCTCGTCAGGGCCACGCCCGCCAGCGCGCCCGTGCCGCGCCGCCGCGCCCCCAGCAGCGCCGGCCCTGCCGCGTTTTGCCGAGGAGCCGCCTCTGCTGCAGCTGGTGTGACGAGGAGAGAGGAGAGAAAAAGGGAGAGAGAGACCAGTGGGAGGCCTGTGTGGCTGACCAGTGGGTCCAGGTGCGGACGGGGCGGACGAGAAGCGTCCGCTCGATGTCCGCTCGACCGCAAAGGCGGATCAAATTTGGGCTCGGGATGGGGCAAAGCGGACAGAAGCGGACGTCTTTTTATGGATGGGGTTGCGCGTTGGGCCGCTTCATTTGTCCGTTTAGACTCAAACGGACAGACCCGGACGTTTTGAGGTCGCGAGGTGGAGATGGCCTGAGGAACAGCACCACACACGCACAGAGAGAGATGCAGGCGAGGAGACACACCCGTCGCATCACCCCCACTTGGCCGGGTAGGCGTGCGTGCCGATGGATGTTCCTGTCCTGGCCTGGAGCTGGAGGACGCACGCCCCGCCCCCGCCCGCCGCACCATCATCATCCATCCGCCAACGAACGATATCACGCACGCACGCACGCACGCACGGGAGACACGCAAACTCAACTCCCCCGTGACCAGGTCATCGCGATCGTCCGTCCTCTTTCGCAACGCAAACGGAATCTTTCTCTAATGTGTCACGTGGCAAATCTCCCCGGCCACACACCTAATGGGTCGCCGACGCGCGATGCACGCACTCACGCTCTCCTCTCCTCCGGACCGGACCGGTCCAGATAAACGGAGCGAAAAAGCGGCGGGATAAAAAGGAGAGCCGGCCGGCCGGCCAGCTCTAGGGACAAAAGAAAGAAGAAAGCCTATAAAGGCACAGCGTGCAAGGAGCTCGAGGCACCCACGCCACGCCCGCGCTGCCTGCCTGCCTGCTTGGTAACAGAGCCAAGGTGCCATTTCGTGACCCCTCTCTCTCTCTCTCTCTCTCTCTCTCTCTCTCTCTCTCTCTCTCTCTCCCTAGCTAGCTATCCGCCTCCACTTGGCCATTTCCCACATCCTGCTTCCGGAGCTCACCATCATCGTCCCTTGCTGGCCTCAACTGCTCTTCTCACTCCATCTCCTGGTGAGTTTCTGTGTTAGTTGTAGCTTTTGGTTTTCTGTTTTGGTTTGCTTCGCCAAGAGTAAAGTATGTTTCTGTTCTGTTGCTTGCCAATTTAAGAGGTTACAGCTTCTTCTTTTCTTGCCTCAAATGGTTTTAACACGAGCTAGCTGATATGATTGTTTGACATGATCCCTGACTTGACTGCTTCGAGTATTTCCTCCAGCGAATGCACGCTCGCTAGTCATTCTTCTGTCTCTAGCCACCAGCTGTTTCCGTATCCTTCATGTTTACTTCCTTCCTTGTTGTCTTGTCTAGTCGCGCAAAACCTTCTGTCTTCCTCGCTAGAAAGTAGAAACGGGTTGATTTCATCTCAAGTTCCCGGTTCCCCTTGCTCTCTTCCGCACGTTCGCTTTGACCTCAACATACGCTTCCCCTTGGTCTCGCACTTTTAGCTAGGCTAAGTTGAGTGTACAACTGAACTTGTCTCCTCTCATATCATTGACATCAATTCTTACTAATATTATTCTACTAGCTGGTGTAGCATTTGGAGTCTCGGAGACCTTGAATCGGCTCGCCAAGAACAAGTCCTATGGAAGAAAGCTCCATGAAAAGAGAAGCCATGCCCCGACTCCTGGATCTCATCCCAGACGAGAAAGAATGGAGTCTGAGAGGAGGAGCACCAGGGCAGGCAAGATCGAAAAACACAGGCTTCGGGAGCGACGAGGACGAGAAACTGGAGCTGAAGCTTGGCCTTCCAGGCCTCGTAGAGGAGGAGCCAGCGGCCAGCTCAAGGGAGAACAACAGGGTGCATCAGGAGAGCCCGGCCCTCTCCCTCGGGTACCCCCCTAGACACTCCACGACCATCACCACGACCACCACCGGAGCAAAGAGGGGATTCCTGGACACGGTTGAGGCCAAAGCACAAGGTAACAAACAGCTTTTCGGTGCATCTCTTGTGCTTTTGTGCTTGGAACATGGTAACGGCAGGTTTGAAGCAGTGAACTAAACATACTCTTTGCTCTATTGTTTTAAGGTTATGAGAAGGAGCAGAAGCAGCAGGCGAGGGCAGCAGCATGTCGGAAGGAACTGGCAGTGGAGGAAAATACAGCTACCGTCGGTGAGAGGAAGAAAGGGTGCTGTCCCCCACCACCACCACCACATGCCCCTCCTGCTACACCTGCGCGCAACATCGGCAACAGACCGCAGGCGCGGGGAAGGTAATTATACCCCTGCATGGTGCCTTTGCTATCTTTTCTGCTCTCATCAACGAACTACACCTGCGTTTGATTTCATATTTCATTCGAGGATTGTTCCTCCATGATCATCCGACTACATAAGAACTAAAACGTGTCTATATACATCCGATTCAGAAAAAAAAATTAGAATATCTTACATTTATGAACAGAGGGAGTAGTTTACAGTGGCGTAAGGTCAGTTCTTCTTAGTTGGTCAACATGAGGCTCTAATAAGGCTCAAAGCTTTCCTTTCCAAAAGCTTGCTTTACTTTATATTAGTTTTTTGTTTAAAGATGGTTGCCTTTTTTGCTCAAGTCTGTAGGCACTGTATTATTTTGCTGTTCTTTACAGTTTCTGTCTTGTGGCGCTTACCTTTGGATTATTAACATTATAGTAAAGTAGTAGTGGTGTGCGTGTGTGTGTGTGTGTGTGTGTGTTTTGGTAACAAGTGCAGTGCAAATAGAAAAGGTGAATACTAGAGTGACCATAAATATTAAGCTTATTTCGTCCAATAAAACTAGCATGCAAGTATTTATTTGGCTGGCCTTTCACAGAAGAACTCACCGTGCTCTAATCTGATACAGAGGGGCTGCAGCTCCAGTGGTCGGCTGGCCTCCAATCCGGTCATTCAGGAGAAACCTTGCAAGCACTAGTGCATCCAAACAGCCCCCTGAACCGCAAATCGGTGAAGCCAATGCCAAGGCCGTTCTTGACTGCAAGAAAAGCCCTCTTGTAAAAATCAACATGGATGGGATCCCCATTGGAAGGAAAGTTGATCTTGCAGCATGTGACAGCTACGAGAGACTTTCATTGGCTGTCAAAGATCTCTTCCACGGGTTTCTTCAAGGTACGAATTAACAATAATCCAAATAAAATAAGTGCTTTGATTTAGTTTCAAACTGTCAATTCATATCAAAACTAGGTTGACATCTTCGTTTTTATTACAACTTACATATGACCATGTTGCAGTGCAAAGGGACCCGTCTAAGGTTGAACGTACACAGCAAGGAGCAGATGAAAATATATTTTCGCGGTTGCTAGACGGGTCCGGTGAATATACTCTAGTTTACGAAGACAGTGAAGGAGACAGGATGCTGGTTGGGGATGTCCCTTGGAAGTAAGCTTGATTGTTCCATCATATACAGTTTTCCAAAATTATTTGTGTTAAGCTCCTCGACACCATCTAAACTGCTTGTACATAATAACTACTGCAGTGTGTTTGTCTCGACCGCTAAAAGGCTGAGGGTTCTGAGAAGCTCAGAGCTTTCCCATGGTCTGGTAAGTGGCAGCTGCACTTTTCTGTTAATCTGTGCCGATATCAGGTAATCCCTCCGTCCCAAAAATAAATAAGTGTCTTAACTTTGTACTAACTTTAGTACAAAGTTGTATTAAGCTTGAGACACTTATTTTGAGACGGAGGGAGTACATGTTTGGATTGCCCAAACTGAGCCACAGCTGACTCTTTCAAATTCTGTTTTTTTCCTTTCGTTTCAGATTGGAGCTACTCCTGAGAGAACAGCACATGGCTGAAATGGTGACACCTTTTCAACCATTTGAAATGTTGCTCACTGAAGCCGGAAACTAAATGAACTCCTAACAAGCAGGGGAATGTCTCCTTTGTTACTGGTCGGGAAGACCTAAATCCTGTGGTCAGTTCGGAGATCGTTGTCCTTTTTGAGGATTAGTAGTTCAGTACCCTTTTTTTTTTTGCTTGTAGTGAGATGAATTAGCATACCGCAGATGCATGGAGATATCCTGCCTATTTTGTAAATTAGGCTACCTTGTATTTAACGCTATAGTTCTTGATTCAGTTACACAGATTCGGTGCCTACTTTCTCTGACAAAATTTGTAACCTGACATGCAAATCTGTTCAGGACAAAAGAGGACCAGCACCTGGCCTGTCCTGATAGCATCACACCACCGAACGATATATATGGATTAGCAACTTCATGTGGAATATGCTATTAGAAGTTCAGGATACAAAAAGGCTGAAGGGTCCACTCTCTGAGTTGTTAATTCGATATTATCTTTCCAACCACACCCTTTTCTAAATTTGTGGTCACGAAAACCATGAGAAAGGTTTGACCAAACCATAAAATGGCCGAAAGTAAAACATGTGCTGATGCCTTCATACTGGCTGGGCATCAAACTACCAATTGCCCCTCTGTGCCAATAGTGGCTAGATCGTGACTACACACAGGAGGGGCAACCTTTTCATCCGTTTCCTCCTTGTGATGCTAAGAATCAACAGCATGCACTGTTTTTATGCGAGTACTTGTTCTAGGTGCGCTAGTGATTATACCCATCTGATAGCACCACTTGCCAAACCTAGAAGTTATCCCAATACTGCACTGGTGATATATCACAAGGCTCTTGACAAAGTCAAGATTAAAAACAGGTGGCATTGGTTCTTTCTGGATGACAGAAACTGCACACTGGCTTCAACTTGCCAACTTGATCCTATCACTTTTAGAGCGGATTTTAGCAACGTCCCACAATACAGAAGCCAAACTGACGAAAGCAAATTGAAATACTTATATACAGTACAGTACAGTACAGTACCAAGAAAAGCCCATGCAACTAGATTGTACAATAGACACCAATAGGAGGACATTTGTGTTTGGCCGTTACGAGGCATACCTTATAATAGTACGTGCATACTTGTTCCTCCTTCAGTGTGCAGGATGTTGCCAATGAAACAACTACAATGCAGGCGGGTCAGCTGTTTCGACAGATGGCTAACACCTGTATGTGTGTCGACATAAATCTGTATAATGAAGCATACAAGCACCAAACAAGCTTACAGGTCAGCTGATGGTAAAGGAGACCGAGAGGAGAAAAGCTTTTGTGGTACAGGGGATATTCACCTTGATGCTCACAACTTTGAAATTGCGGACAAAGAAAAGGTCTTTGTCACTGGACCATCGCTAAATTCCAGACAGTAGGAAAAGTAGCAGAGGTTCGGTGGATTTATCAAAGAATCTTAGCCCTTTCGTAATGTCTTTACCAGACATCTTTATCCCCGTTGTGTTGTGCACTCATGTGTTGCCACTTGCAGTGTACAAATGTATATTTTACTAATATGGACTAAAAAACGGTAGCGCTTTTGCAAGCACGGTGTTTTTGGTGTCGGTGAAAGCCAGAAAAGGTGATAAGATAATGCAGAATGACAAAGCCAACCTCATTTCAAGCACCCAACTGTGAATTTTCTATTCCACTACGCCACTACTAGTTGTTTACTTCTCTATACTCCCTCCGATCCATATTACTATACATCCGTATCTAGACAAATCTAAGACAAGTAGTAATATGGATCGGAGGGAGTACTTAAAATCAACCTGCCAATCAAAGAGACTACAAAAGTGTAAAGGCGCACATGTAACTGAGGACACCAGCAGTTTCGCATGTTGGGAGCCCATGAGCAAGACATGTCTTGTAATGTGCACGCTAATTCCCAGTGCTACAGTCACAAACTCGCAATGGGACATGTGCACATCCCATAGACGCACCTTCAGCCCATAAGGGGCTCATGCATCAAAAGAGTCTGTAGCAGTTCGGGAAGAATGTTCTACAATATCGATTCACCTCCCGTATCAACACTAACTAATCACATATTCAAGTGTATGGGTTCACAGTTCCACACATGTGAGCTGCAGCTGACTGGATCATGTGTCGATACGTGCATTGCTATGATGTTATCATCATCATTCATCAAAAGATACTAGATGGCACATCGACTATTCAGGTGGATGGATCAAATAAGAGAACAAACATAGAGCAGCAATCAGATAACCAAAGAATATGTACTCTATCCGAAGGCAGGGAATGGACGCACCAGGAATGTGCAGCACGAAGGCGCCTAGCATGGATTCACCTAACATCTTACTTCAAAATTGCAGGTAGTAGCTATTCAAAGAACAAATAAATCAACAAAGCACCTCTCTGAGTAAAAAGGTACAGTGATCCAATTATTGTGTTGCATCAAGAACAGGACCACATAATTCTTTTAAAAGAAAATGGCGAAAAGTAATACCATTATATTAAAAGGAAAGGTCAAGTACAGTTCAAAACCACATCACCACACCTTGCAGGCTCCATTCCTGAATGTGACACATAGTTCATAAAGTAGGATCAGGGTGCAGTAAAGTAGACAATGCTTGATATAGTTTCTTAAACCATACTACTTAAAAAAGCTCCCAAGCCTTACTTGCGTTTGTCCGACACAAGGCAGCAATAGGTACCCACTTTATTCATGTGCACTGACATGTGGAATATTCCCATATATTATTTGTAATGGGTTGTCCAGTTTCAGATATATATTAGGTTTCTGTTTCTTGTTCTTGTCTCTTCTTCTCTCTAGTCAAGTATGATTTGGTCAGGAATATTATAAAAACAATTTCTTTACGATCTATCAGATCAAACCCCAGTAATTGACAGTTGACACTTCAGCTATGTTCTTCTTTTGAGAAGAAAACAATGTAGTTGCCGTGCATTAGTACACCTTCATGTGTCATATGAATGGACAGCCTGCTTCTAAAATATTCCAAAACAAATGTAGCTAATGTTTACCAAAAGAACACTGTTACTAGAACGGGTCACTACAACAAAATGAAGCCGCCCCAGTGCATGAATGTATATGAAGAGATGTAAACTAGGGTCAGATACTATATTTTAGTCTTTATTGAACAGACCAGCTATTCCCTGAAATGACAGTGAAGTCGAAAGCGTGCTAGTAGTAGCCTTCTTTTAAACGGCCGTGATAATCTTTCTTAACTGTACACTGTAGAGCCACGCCTCCTCTTTATTCCAAGTCAAAGAATATTACCGGGGTTTATAGACAATAGCAACAGGACATAAAGAAATACAAACCTAAGGGGGGAGGAAGGAAGTCCATCTAAGCAACATATCCTTGTGTTTCACTTTGATCCTATGAGCCAAAAGAGAAATATCATGAATAAAACCACTCCTCCACTTGACAAAGGTAGGTCTTTCATTGCCGAAGATTTTAGCGTTTAGAATTAGCCAGATATTCCACCAGGCCAGAAACACCACTTCACTGAAGAAAGGTTGATCAAAACCTCTCTTAGCTTGCATGGCAATGTAACTCATGTCCTGCAGTCCTGGACAAAAGGACAAGTAATCTGCAAATAAGCCCATACTCTAGAGCTATAGTCAGTTAGTTACATTGGAAGAACAAATGGTTTCTGTCTTCCCTGGCCCCTGAGGAGCAGAGCTCACAATGCATATCCCTCAGTGACCTTCCAATTCCTCCTCTGAAGCATGTCTCTAGTATTCAACCAATCCATGATGAGCAACCAGGCAAACACCTTGATCTTTAGGATACAGCAACTTCTCCAGATCCATGTAAGCAAAGGGTTGTAGACCAAAGACTTGTGCAGAAAATTATAATAACTTCTAGCCCTGTATATTCGATCGCCTTCCTTCCAATGCCAAACATCCTTCTGCCCTCTATCAAAATGATGCACCTCCAGCCTTACATAGTCTGGAACTCAGAATGAGCTTGATGTGAAAGAGGAAGGTGGGAAAGAACAGAACTATCCACACAATCCAGGACATCAGGAAGAGAAGCACTATCAGCGAGGGCATGAGAGAATAACCTAGGGGAGGTGAAGATTCATAGGCAGAATTGATCCACCACACTGCCAACTGTCATTCCAAAAAAGAATAGAATCCCCCCATATTGGCCTGAACCCAAGTGACAGTCCGAAAATCATCCATCAATTTGGAGATATCTCTCCACCAATAAGAATCGCAGAGGGCAGTAGCATGAGGTACTATACCATGACAGTAAGAATTCCAATTAATTGTACCCAGGGGATATCAAGTTTGTTATAGAACTTGTTGACATGTTTCAACAGCAGAGCCTCACTTTGAATACGTGGGTTGAGGATCAAACCTCCTTTCGACTTGGGGCGACAGACTAACTCCCAAGCAGCCAGAGATGGCTTTGGATCCTGACGATTTTTCCTCCGATGGCACTGTCTCTGAATTCTCTCGAGCTGTTTCAAGATCCCAGGAGGGAGCTGGAGGCTGCAAAAATAATAAATTGGCATGGATGACAAAGCAGAGTTCAGCAGTTGCAAACAGCCACCCTGAGCCAGAAAGGAAGGACTAGCAATGAGCTTATGTTCAGATCAGCAGTCCTAGGTCTGGCAGTACTCACTGGCAGACTCAAATATGTGAACAGAATTTCCCCCAACTGACAACCAAAAACATCTGTTAAACGAGCAGCCTCTGACTAATCCAGATTTATGGGCACCAAAGAAGATTTATGATAGTTTACTTTAACTTCCTAACCTGTAAT